CCCCCCCCCATGTCTTGCCATTGTATAAGCAGCACCTAAGACAGTGTCCTGCACATAGTAGGCATACATTGGTATTGGTTGAATGGGTACATCAATGAACCTGGGGAGGGAGGGGTTACTGGTCAAAAGGCCTGCAGCCTTGCCAAGTGAGCCCTACAAGGAGCCTCCCACTTCCCCTTCATTTCCTGGGCGACTGGGGGGCCTGAAGTTGGAGGTGGGGCAGACTTTGTGCAATATAGCTGCTTTGAAATCAGTCTCAGAGCCACTTTTGACTCTTAGTGGGGACTGCAAATGCTTCCACGAGCTCCTTCATTTCTCTCAAACCAGAAGAGTGTGGGGGAGCCAGAGTTCTGGAATCCAGAGCTGATGGATGGATGACTAGACCTGGGGTTGCTCTTACCTGCTGGGAAACCTTGGGCTGGCTGCTGAGCCTTTCCAAGCATCAGTTTCCTCAGTCGAAAAATGAGAACAGTAACTAGCTCATAGGATTAAAAAGAATATACAGAAATCCCTACTTTGGCCGAATACAAACTACCAACAAAGATTTAACGGCAGTTGAAGGGTTCCTTGCAGGCGCTGCTGGCGGCTTTGGGTGGTGCCTCCCTCTGCGGCCGGTACCCGTGTGCTCAAGGGTGCCACTAGGCGGCGCGCTGCAGCTCACACCTCCTTGGCGGCTTAGGCCTCTATTCTGAGGCTGTGGGTCCCGAAAGGAAAAGAGACGATTGGGTTTGCAGGGTCTTGGGTGGGCAGGTTTGGGGATGAGTTCACATTCGGCACCCCCCGCCCCGCACACCATCCAGTCCAGAATGGACTGCAAACTCCTGGAGCCTGGGAATGGGGGCATGTAAGGTGAAGTCCTTGATGTTCTACCACCTCTTTGTAATAATATTATTTTAGCTAATGCTGAGTGCTTATTTACCCGGTACTGTCCTGATCTTTTATATGCTGACAACAACCTTATGAGATAAGTACAGTTATTACTTTCATGTATCAGATGAGGAAATTGAGGCACGGAGAGGTAATTTGCCCAAGGTCACATACAACTAGTAAATGACACAGTGGAGATTCAAATGCAGACAGACCCGATCTCAAGCTTGTACTCTTATTTTAAATTGAGGCAAAATGTACATAACATAAAATCTACCATTTTAACTATTTTAAAGTATACAATTCAGTGTTTTTTTGTGTTTGTTTTTTA